GAATCAAAGGGAGGGGGGCAAGGGGATGCTCTTTGGAGGTGGTATAGATAGAGCCTGGACAAGCCAGTGGGTGTGCCCACACATGTATGTCCAAGGCTTATTATGGTGCGGGATGGAGCCAGCAGTGGAAAGAGAATCAAATCAGAGTGGCCTGTTGACCAAGGGCCAGATATCCTCATTTGGCTAGTACAGAATTCAGAGGACTCTAAGAGTTTTAAACTCAAATCTGTCTTCCAGGTTGTTTTGAAGGTATATTTGTCAGGATAGAAGGATAAAATGCACTTTGTTTAACAGTTTGTTAGCTGGATTTATTACTTTTAAATATTTTGGTCTATGATATGTGAGCCTCCATCCGTACTCTTGCCCTGGGGTCCATAAATGTTAGGGGTGGGCCTATTCTTTGTGGATACAGATATTAGTTAATTAATCACAGAAAGAAATGTAAAGTGGAACCATATTTCTAAGAAAAATAATATACCATTTGGGTCTCTCCTAAAATGCTCTGCTTGATCTCCATTCCCAGGGTTCTCCTTGTATCTTGGGGTCTCCAGGTTCCCTTGAGCCCTGCAAAGCCCTTCTCTTATTTTCTGAGATCCCAAAACACTGACTAAAATATTCCACACTACGCTTGCCCCTTCTGAACTCAGAGCTTCAGGGAAATGCACCCTAGGAAGCATAAGGGAGGCAGACCAAGATTGTTAATCTCTTCCAGACTCATTTCCTGCTTTTCATTAGGTCCAAAACAGATGCCCCATCACCACACTGCCATGGTAGATTCCATCTTTGTAGCCACTCCAGGGGCTCCACAGCTGACGCAGCCTGGGAGGTGGTTTCACCTCTTTGTTAAGGTATCCGTATGTCTCACATCTCTTCCGTTTCCAGCTGTCTAAACTCAGCCGAAATCTATTTCTTCTCACTTGGTCTGCAGCAGCAGGAGAGAAACCTTCTCTGACTAATTGGGGAAAAGGTAGCAAATTCATCCACTTGTCTCTCTGAATAGGCACCCCACACACTAGCCGCTTTTAAGCATGCATCTCTTTCTCGTCCCCAATATTACTGTAATTCACCTGCGACTCCCTGTCTGTGTGTCCTCGATCTCTCTAAGCCTCTGTGATGTCTGGGCTAGATTGTGAAACTCCCTGAGGGGGCAGGGCCACATCTGCCCTGTGTCTCCAGACCCTGCTCAGCAGAGCAGCCCACACAGGTAGGCACTTAATATAGACTTTTGATGATGGAAACAGAAGAACAGCATTCTGTCTAGAGCATTGTGAGGGGGCAAGATGCAATCTACTACCACAGACAGACCACGTCACAGCAGCCCTCCTGCCAGACTGGGAGCTGGGGCACACTTTTTCCTTTTAAACGAGGTGTGTGGGAGGGGCACTGTCTCTTGCCTCTGAGATAACAGCAACAACAAACACTGTGACAGCATGGCTCTAATTGTGTGGACTGATCTGATGCTCAGAATAACCTTATGAATTTGGGGACTATCATTATTATCCCAGTTTTCAAATGAGAATCCTGAGGCACAGAGAAGTTGTGTAAATTGTTCAGGCCTCAAACCGGGGGCCATCTGGCTTCGGAGACCTCAGCTTGCCCACCACGGCACATGGTCCCTTGACGTGAACTAGTGGAGCTTCAAGCAGAAATGGAGAGTGAAGTGTTGCCGACCAGGCTCTTGTCCCACACTCTCGCAGGTCCCTGATCAACTGACCCCCGTCCCACCTGAGTGACTGGCTGAGGGGAGAGTGGCTACTCAGTCAGCTGTCCAGCCTGGAGCCAAGTTGGCCCTCAAAGCATTTGTTCACACCCCATCCGTCTCCCTCCTCCTATCTTCTCTATTTCTCAAACATGCTAAAAGCCTGTTCACACTTGGGTGTCCTCCACCTGGAAAACTCTTCCTCTAGACCTGTGTGTGCATCGTTGGGTCATTCTCATCACTTAGGTGTCAGCTCAGATGGTACATTCTTAGGGAGGCTCTTCCTGGTCACTCTGTGTAATGTAGCTCCCAAGCCCTCCCTTTCATTCTTGTCTAACTCATTTTCCTGTTTTGCCTTTATCACAGCACTCAACGCCATCTGAAATCACTTTATTTGTCTACTAGTTTACTTGTTTATTTCTGCATCTTCACCAGAACTCTAGGTGCTGGAGAGCAGAGACCTCATCTGTTTTGTTCACTCCTGGATACTCAGGGTCTGAAACAACAGCTGGCATGCTGTAGGTACACAACAAACATTTGCTAAATAAATGCATGTGTGAATGAATAAGTAGTAAGTCCTTTATAGATATGTACAAATATGGAACTAGCTGGATCCTTCAGTTTCCTGCCCCTCACCACATACATTTCAAGCCATTGGCAGGAAGAGACCAAATTTTCAGTTTTGGCAGCCTTTTAGCCCCTGGAGCAGTGGCAAAAGACTGGGGAGCTGTTCAGTTCCTTTGTCTGGGCAGAGAAAAGACCAAGACATTCAGCTACTGAGACTGCAGACTGTCTGCACTCCATTCAGGGCCACGTGTGGACAATTGCTGGACAGCTCCCTCCTTGCACAGAAAACAAAATACTGAAATCTCAGCTTTTCACTTTCTGTGTCTGACTGTCTCTCTCCCTCTCTTCCTTCTCTAGAGAGTTTTCCCCACCTCCTCCTCTTTGTCTCCCTTCCTCATTGAAATACTGTGAAGAAACACAAGCAAAAAGTGGGAAAATGTGTTCACATCTAACACATGTTACTCTTAGGACTAATAACACAATCCCATTAAAATCTCCTGGCTGCTGCGCAAATAAAGCAAACACCCAAAGTATAATAATCATATGCAGGGAGTGCTTGATTTGATCCAGTCTGAGTATCAATGTGACCCCCTATCCCTCCCACATAATAACAGAGCCCATTCCTTTATTGGTGTTAGCTTTTTTTTTTATTCCACGCTTTATTTATGACACATTGTAAAAATAACAAACAAGAAAGGAAAGCTCCTAACCTCCAACCAGACCCTGTATCACGTGAGGGTATTTCACAATATTCCTAATAATCCTTTTTTTCCTTTTTATTTAGCAAAATACTGCTTTTCCAGGAGCAAAATACGTGCCATTATATATTAATCACTTTCAAGTCATTTTCAGGCTCATTATCTTCCGGATCCTCTCAACACATGTATAAGCAAATGAGGAGAACCGAAAAAGGTTCCTCTAAATCACAGAAGTTGGAAAAGGGGCTCAAGGGTATAAAGAAATCTGAAGTTCACACAACAGGCAAATATCCTCCAGAACAGACTCCAAGTCCTGCTGTATTCTAGAGACAAGGGTGTTCTTGCCAGAAGCCACACTCCCAGTGGCCCCTGTGACATGCAGACCTGAACCAGGGCACATGGAAGAAGAAAGAAATAGCTTAAGAAGTTAGGAAGCTAAATAAATCCTTTTTTTTTTTTTTTTTTTGAGAAGATGGGGCTTCTGATTGGGGCAGATGCTGACCGGAAGCGTCCTAAAGTGAAGCACAATTCTTGTTCTCAGCCCCGCCACTCCTCCTTGTGTCTGTGCTGGAGGGCTAGCACTGGAAGAGGGGCACAGTGCAGGCACCCTGGGCCTTCTTGCCTAACAAGAGTCCTTGGCTCTGGGCTGCAGTCCAATTGGGACTTCAGGCAATCCTAGTCACAAGAAGGAGGAACCCAGCCCTCAGCCTCTCAGAGACATTTATTCACACTGAGATCAACATCACCTCCTGTCATAATGCCCAGGCCACGGCCCCAGTCATCATCTGTCCCTGAAGTGCCCTGCCCATTCTGGGCAAAGACAAAACGAATGAAAATGTCAGTGAAGCCTGACTCTCACAGAGAAAGCCTTCAACAAGAACCAGAGCCACTCTGGAGCACCAGCACGGCATCCTGCTACACCATCACTTGTCCAAGGAGCACCGAGAGGTCTTACCCCACTTCTGGGAAACTAGTGGAGAAGTGGCTGATGTGACCACATAACCCTGCCCAGGGTGCAACTGAATGTTCTTTCACCAGCATCGCTAACTAGATCAGATTTTCAGGTGAACCTTTCTGATCTGGGATTCTGTGGAAAGTGTTGCCACAATTCATGATTCTAGAAGAATGTGCACATACTATCCAGCACTGCAGAAACTAGATTGAAAGTGGAGCTAGAGGGGGTGGGGTGAGTATGTCTGTGAAAATCTGAATGAATGTGGTAGGGAGAACCCTTGGCCTTGGGAAGGCTCTGGTCCATAAGGTACTAAGCATCTCCTATCCTGGATGGGGAGAGTTTAAGGGACTTTCTAAGTTTGTGTGCTTCAGGGCTGAGAAGGGAAATAGTTATGACAAGACTCCTTACTTCCTTCTCCATATTCCTTACACTCACTCTCACCCTACTTACCTACCTGCTTTCAACCTAGAAAAACTTGAGTCTGCCAAGAAGTGTCATAACAAACTGTATAGTCTTCATGAACTTACAATCCCTCTGCATTTCCTCCTCGGTGACTGCTGTGGATGTCAATATAATACGGGAGGGGTTAGTATCAAAGTGAAGGAACAGGCATAGGCTTGCTGAGGACAAGAACTCCACACACTATCAGAGAGGGAAGAAGTCTGAATCTGGAACTGAAGATGGGCTGGGGAAATGTCACTAACAACAAATCAGATACAAGGATATCTCGGCAACAAGCATGAATGTACCACCAAGTTTCTTCACTTCACCCCTTCCAACTTCTGAATCTTCTACTCTGAGGATGCTTATGGAATTTTTGGATGGAATTGAACATATTCCAATTGAGCATTGGAAGGAAAATGCAAAAATGGGGTACAACTGAGCCACCAAACAGGCTCCGCCAGGCACCAGACACCTCTTGGGCAAACTTAACCACATGAGACATCATTGTGGAGCCCTTAAAACTTACAGTCCTCACACTAGAAACAGCACAGCGGTTCCCCAGGGCAAGTAGGCGAGTAGCAACCTGCGAGACCTGGAGATCCCAGAAGGAAGCAGGAAAAGGGAAAAAGGGTCTCACCTGTTCCGGCCCCTGGAAGCAGATGCGGCAGAGCGGGGTTCTCATGCCACTGTCCAGGCTGCTGCCCAGTGAGTAGCGATCCTCAGCCTTCCCCTTACAGAAGTCATCTGAAGAGGCACTGCTGAGCAGCAAGGCAGGTGGCTCTGCGGCTGGGCCACCCCAGTCATCTTCCACTGAAGGTGGCAGGGGAGGGGTCTCCCTGGCCACGCCTTCTCGAGGCCCCCTCCAGCCTGCCCGCCCCCCGGCGCCCGGAGCCGGAAGGGTGTTGTTGGCTGCCACGCCGGGGGGCTGGGGTTCGCCGTGCATGGGCAGGGGCGCTGGGGGGGGGCGCCGCAGGAGGAGAACCTTCAGGTCATTGAAGAGCATGCGGCAGCGGCACTTGAGGAGACCCTGGTGGCGCAGCATCTGGCGGGCTGGGAGGCACAATCCACAGCGGTACCAGGCACAGCAGTACCACCACCACCACCAGGGCAGCCCGCTCTGGGGCATCAGCATGTGCCCGGTGGAAGCAGAGAGACCGGTAGGGGCAGGCGGAGTCTTTGCAGAGGATGGGATCGTTTGAGGGGGTCCACAGTGTATCTGTGTGATGGGGGGAGGCTTCGTTCGCACTGGCTCCCGTTACCTCCCTTCCAAGTAGCAAATAAATGGCCCCCTTGACTGACGACTGCGAGCCACTGCTTCTGATCTCTACCTGGAAAGCCCAACAACAACAAAAGTTTTCTTGCCCCTCCACCTCTACCCCAACATTAAGCTTTGCTCAGAGTGTCTCCTTTTTGCTTTTGACCTGGTGGCACTGGTAGGGGCAGGGGGGTAGGAAAAAAAAATGTTGAGGATGGGTTGTCAGGGCCTTGAGATCAAGGTCTAATTGTTAGAAAGTTCCCCAGGAGAGGCTTATTGGGTTTTTCTCAAATGCCTAGGCAGTGGGAAATCTTTTCTTTCATATGAAAGGGTGGGGAAGGTTATCAATAAAATTTGGAGTGGACTGAGCTGGGCTTAGGGCAAGCTAGCTCAGTGAAGAATTGAAGACTGCATGTGCTAGAGAGAAAAGGTAGTTTTCCTCAGGTAACGGGAGGTTGGTGGTGAGGGGGTGAGGGAGGTAAGGCGGGGAAGAGAGGAGGTTGGGAGAACTTTTAATTCTCCTGGGCAGAAAACTGGGGCAATTAACCCCCAGAAGCACCAGAGTTACTTTTAAGAGAGCAGCGGTGGGGGTAGGGAAGGGATTCAGGTGCAACTGGGCAAGGGGCTTGTGCTTTGCCTTTGCAGCCAAAGGGCTGCACAGAAGAGGGGAAAGCCAATTAGGAGAACAGAGGTGGGAAAATCAGGGACTGGAGGGCGGGGGCTGAGAAATCATTCCTGAGCTTTAAGACCCTGGCTAGAAGAAGGGTGTGTGCTTGGGGGCTGGGAGGCAGAGAGCGGAGTAGAGATACGGGGTAGAGAATAGGGGCTTGTGGGAGGGGACTAGAGGAAGGAGTAATTACATGGTCTCAGCCCCCCGCCCGCCCCTGCGGCAGTCTGTAAATCCTCGGCCCCCTTCCCTTGGCGCCATCAAATGTCCCTCTGGGCGAGGGGCACGGGCCGGGATAAGGGCAGGTCCGGGCGGGTGGGTGGCCTCGCCTTCTCCTCGGGGGCCTCCTCGGGGCCGCTGTCGCCCTGCTTCTCTGGCTCCGGGTGCGCCCGAGGCCGCCGATGCTGCTGCGGCGGCGACCGCTTGTCGGCGTGCGGGTGTCTCCGGGGCGGGGGCTGCTCCGGCTCGTCCTCTGGCTGCCGCTCGCCGTCCGACGCGGCCAAGACTCCCGGCCTCATGATCCTCCTCCCCCTCCTCCCCCTTCCCGGGGGGCCGGCCCTGCGCCCCCGCGCCCGGGCAGCGCTGCCATGCAGCCGGAGGCGAGGCAGGCGTAGGGGCGGGGGCGGCTCAGGAGTCAGCAGTAGGGGAAAGAGAAGACGAAATCACACTAGTGGAATAAGCATAATTCGCTTCTCAAATAATCAGAGCAGAGCGCTGCTGGGTGGGCGGGGGCGGAGGCGGAGGAGGGCGGCTGTCGGGTCTTCAGGGCAGCTCTGCCTCCGCGGCCCCTACCCAGGGCGGCCTCAGTCGGCTCTCTCCCCCCCGCCCCGCCCTCCTCTCCGCCGCCTCTGGCTGGCTGGGCTCGCTGTTGCTACCTCTCTTCCTAGAAGCAGCGAGGTGCGGCTTGTTTGCGGTGCCGGCTGAGGGTGGGGAGGGGGAACAGAAGCGGCGTGGCCGAGGCGGGAGGCAGCCAGCACTTGGCTCCGGCTTGGTCCTCGCGACCCCCCAAAACCATATATAAATACATCTCTTATAAAAGGCGAGAGGAAGCAAATCAGATTCCAGGCTGCTGCCAGGTGTTGTCTTCCGCCGTTGCTCAGCACCCGCCCGCCGCGACTGCTGCCCCCCCCCCCCCACACACAACCC